TGAAGAGTGTTGCTTTAAATAAAATAAACAATCCAAAGGATTTCAAGCCACACAGGCTCATTATTATAGTGTGTATAGAGAGTGCTTAACACATGGAAGCTTGGAATGAGCAGCTGCCTTTCAGAGAAGACGTGACAGCACAATAAATCAGACAGATAGGGTCAAGCTTGTCCTACCAATCCATCGTTTGATTTTGTTTGAAAGTATATAGGGGAATAATTTCACCACCTAAACTTAGAAATCTAGCTTCCTAAAGCAGGAAACTAGTCATGCTGTGTGATGCATGGAGAGACATTTATTCTTCCAGAGGTGGTTCAGAACAATCACCTAACTGAGGAACAATGAACTCCCTGATTTCTCATCCAGGTGACCAAGTGAAGCTACTCTTACCCTATCAGTCAAGTCTGAAAAAATGCAGGGATTAACCTCCCCTGAGCTCTGTAATGCTGAAAAAGGTTTTCATGAAGTCATCATGTGATGACGAATTGAGGTAACCGGGTCTGGAGGAAAATTTCCTAATGGAAAACTTCATATATTATTTATATACCCATAACAATGCAGTGCTGCAGTGTGGGTTACAGTACTGCACCAACATTGCCCAAATGCATTTAAATAATAATGCTGCTTGCTTCTCTTGCTGGTAGAAAAAGGCATTACAAAGCTTCTTCCTTTGTCACTCATGCCGTGTTGGTACCACATACAGGGTAGCCAAACACAGATGCAAAAGCACTCTTCATTTTGACAAAATTTTGTCCTTTGTCTATGCAAAATAGGTGGCTTCAGGCCTCTTATAAATGATTGGTGGCTTCTGGGTGGGTATTGGAAATTAAGAAGAAATAAACCTTCTCATTGCCATCAGCAAAATTTAGTCCGACTAGGTGGCATTTTCTGTTTATGCTGGCAAACAGGAGCATTACATACTTGGACTGTTTATTCTGGTAACCTTAGCTAGCCTGCTGAATTGCGACATTACTCTTTTGATTAGCTCCATGCAAAAAGATCTTGAGAGGTGGAAAGATCTCCTACTCTTTCTATATTTGGCAGAACCAACTCCATAAAAATGTCCGTTTTGCCACGCCTCTGATACTCCACTGCAGCTGCTTCCTCTCCTCATCCCACAGTGAGGTATTAAAAAGTTTGCATGGAACCTTCTCCAAGTTTATCTGGATGTACAAAAAAGCCAAGAATGCACTTGTCAAGGTTACAAATATCTAGGGAGCTAAGATAGTTTTTAGTTTAACTGGCTCTTCAAAATATAATAGAGGCCTGCCAGCTGAAAATTATTAACTGCTGGCTGAGCAGAGACTGTGAGTGCACTCTATAGGAGATTGAGCAGGAATTATATGTACCTATACTGCTGGAATACTTATAATACCATAATAGAGCCATCCTACAACCAGATGTGCTTATAATGCTCTCAAAGTGCACTCTTAATATCCAGGCAATTGAGGCACTTATTTCATTTCATCCTCCTGTCTTGTAACTCAGGTTTCCTTTTTAGGGAATGATAGGATTACTTCCTTCTGATCCATATGTTGTGAGGGGTTCTTTTTCATTATTATTTTTGTGAAGTGGCCTTCCGTGAGTCATTTATGTTTGAACTGATCTTGTAAGTTGTTTCAAAAGTCAAATGAAGCCTTACTTTGATGACTGTAGAAAACTTTAATACCTTTATATAGCTTTTTAAATATGGTCAGACATATGTTTTTTTCTGCAGCTTGTTTAAATGCCAGAAAGGTAATTATGAAGTGTTAGTTGGTCAGTGCCTCTTTTAAGCTGCAGCGTATGGTTGAAATTATCACTATAGTCAAGAGGAAGGCAGAACTTTCTTAAGATAATAGGCCTCATGATTTATCTCACATCTTGGGAAATAACTGAAAGTTGTAATTTAGGATGACTCAACAATACTTTCCTCAGATTAGTTTTTGTCCTTCTGCTCTCTGAATAATATGATGTTTGTCACGTTTTAAAAACCTAGTAAAAACAGATATGCTAAACAATTCATCCCATCAGTGGTTAGGTCTGCTCTCAAACCTACTTTCTAAGCAGATATGTTAGTTCACCCGATACCCACTGCTGGTTTTTGTCATTGTATTATCTGAACCAAGTTTCAGTTCTCCGTGTGCAAATTCAATGTTTCATGAAAGATCAAGAGAGCTTCCAGCACAAACAGGTCTACAGCCTACGGTGATGAAATGGAGGTCATCACTTGTGTGTTCATTTATTTCAAACAAAGGAACTACTGCCTATCAGGTACCATTTTCTGCAATGCAGCCTTTGGGGGAAAAACAGTAAAGGAAAACTGTTTCAGAAATAGCCACACTCTAAAAATGATACCTCACTGGAGAGTGTTTTTTTGGAATTCCATCAATATATTTTAATTCAGTCATAATAATTTTAGAGATAGGACTATTTTTTTTTTAATCTGTTGTAAGATAGGTATCAAATATGATCTCCTCTGTTGGGACAGCTAGTAAAAGAAAGTAATAACAGTAGTAAGTAAACAAGTAAGTGCTGTCATCCCACTCAAGAATAATCATTCACTCTGCTACAGATGGAAAGACAGGTCCTGAATATGAGTTCAGTTTCTTAACTGGAAAAAAAAGAAATAATAGTGTCACACCAGGTTCACCTTGCTCTATTTTGGTTTAAGTCACTGAAGGACTACTGATGTAAAACAAGTATGCAAGAAGAGTCAAGCCTTTTGAAATACCGCATTCAGCTTCTGAAGACTGCCATATACCATGGAAACCCACACTCAGTCCCATGCCTATTTACAGCGTATTTCTGTCAAAGGAATATATTTGATTTTATACAGAGACATTTCTAATTGACAACGTTGGAAGTTACATCATTACTTGACTTAGTAAGATTCAGAAAATGAAAAATATGTCCAGAATTTCTTCTCAATTTTCTTTTTGTTTTTGATTAACAATACAGTTTTTATGCTATCATTTTTTTTCTCTCAGACCATTTGATTGTGGCAAGATAAAGAACTAGACTTAATCAAGCTAAAAATCTTAATGCTTTCCTTTTCTGAGCAAGGGTGGATTTAAGCAGGACGAGAGGAAAGAAGACATGAAAGCAGGCAGGAAGGAAGGAACGAAGTGAGTTATCTCTAGCAGCTCAGTTGTCATTCTGTGGTAATCTGGGGAAGCAGAAAAGAATTAGATAACATAATTGAATAGACTAATTATAATTCTATATAAATTATCACAATTATCAGCAGAATGCTTAGAACCAACATTATGTGAAAGACTGCTCCCATGACTTCAAGGAATTCTCTGCACTTGTGTAGCACAGGCTGCCTTTTCTCTTCCAGAGACAACATTCAATACTTATCTGTCCCTTTTCAGTATGTTAAATGCTTTTAGTTTAAATATTTTGTTTAGGATAGTGAACTGTCTCTTCATTTAGTTGTACTACTCAACCTGATCTTTGAAGAAAAGAATAAAGAATTTATCAGGGAGAATAGTTAAATTCCAGGCCGAATTCACCATTATTAGATATGGGAATATGTTTTCTGAATTCAGCTAAGTGATTCGCGTTAAATTGGCCAGCAGGTATTTTTAAAATTTTATTTATCATTACTCAGTTCCACACAGACTCTACATTTGTCACTGAGACATGAATTCATTCCTCCTCCCCATAGCTGTCAAAATCATGTCTGGGAGTTAATCTAATATTGTCTCAGCTTACCTTAGTCACTGGAAATGAAAAAGGTAAAATTTTATCAATTGTTTGATACAAAATGGTGTGCTTTACAAATACAACAAACATATTTAAGTAACTGAAAATGACCCCAGTGGAATCTGGCAATGTGTTCAAGTCAAACAAGACAATCTGGAAGGGACAGCCATTCTCTAGAAGCCTTCAAAGAAAAAAACTGTTTCATTTGCTTGTGTGAGTAAATGTCTGTTCATATGTATAGAAAAGGTTGGATTTTCACTGAGATATCTACTTATAGTGTGTCAATGAAACTCAGGAAAATTGCAAAACTCTCATATCTAGAGGTCACAAATCCTGGTGCTATTTTGATACCTTCCCTTTAATATATCGTCATCTTAGTGATTTTATCTATAGCAGTCTCTCAATCTAATACTGATTCCTGAAGCAAGGATGATTGACTATCAGTAGGCTAAAAGCTTTCAATTTTAATGATAAAACTGTATGTAATATTTAATCAGATTTGGTGTACTTGAGCCCAGTATTCTAAATGTCTTTACTAAAACACATTTTCAAATGTGTATGTTGATGTAAATATTATTTGAAATGTGACTTTACTACCTATTTAGTGTGTTGAGATGAGATCCTGAAAAACTTCAGTACATGCTTAACATTAATATTTCCATCAGAAATCAGTGTGACAACATGCATGATGAAACTAAAGCACATGCAGAAGTGTTTCCTGGCCCAGGGTTTGGTGAGCAGGAAACCAGTTAACAGTGATAAGAAATTCCACCGTCTCCTCAGCTTTCACAGCACAGAATAAGATAAAGCGGTTAAAAATGCCTGTATTCCAGTTTTGCTGGTGTTCCCATTCTTGCTGCCATCTGGAAACAGGATGTTCAGAAACTCTGGACAAATGCATTATTAAATATATGCAGTTGCATATATTTAATAGACTAAAACAAGATGCTCATATTTGTTTCATGCAGGCAAATCAACTGCTTGTACATGCAATATGTGGGACCACTTCTTCAGCCACATCAGTGTGAACAGATTAGAAAAGATGTGCACCAGTTTAACAGATATATTACTTGTGCTTTTATCTTCCATCTCTGCCTACTAGATGAAACTAATCTGTAGCTGGTACATAAAAAAATATAAATGACTTGCATAGCAGAGAGGTAATAGTTGTATGTCATTTTGCTATAAACATTTAATCTGATATATCAATATATCTATTAGTAACATAAACAAGACCTCTACTGTGAGGAGCTGATAACCACTGGTAAATATTGAGCAAGCATTTAAAGTTCATTAGTTTGCATCAGTACCTGTCTTTCAGTGAGGTCAAGGTTTACTGCTATTTCATATCGCCTCAGCCTGGTCAAATAGTTATGATGAGCAAATTCTGCTTCTAGCTCTCTGATTTGCTCCTTGGTGAAAGCTGTCCTTTCCTTCCTGGGTTTACTGTTGACCTCTGACTTGTAGTTTCCTTCTTGGGAATCTGAAAAAGAGAAGATGAAAATATGGAAGCAATGACAAGTGTACAGCGAGATAAGAAACAAGCCCAAAGATAACAGCATGCTTAAATCACATTCTTCAAACTTTCTTCTCTCAGAAACACACCCTTGCTTTCATACCTATGGATTCTTCACTGTAAGTCAGGAAAGCAGCAGTAATTCTGACAGACGTGAGCTGCTGCTTCCATTCACAGGCATCAAATATTAGCTTAAAACCTCTCAATGTTTCATTTCTTAGTAGTTCTCTGTAGAATTTCTGCAAAGCTTCAACTTCTTCCCACGTCTGGCAACTCTCAGTGCATCCAACCAGTACAGGATGTGTATCATTTGATTAGTGTCTTAATGAGTAATACTCCAAGAATCTCTCTCTCTCTCGTATCATTTCACTAATACCTTAAGCCAGAGATCTATTTTAAAGAATACACTTTAAGATTTAGTCCAGTTAGACTTTCAGGGAAAGATAACAGAGAAAGCATATGAAATTCAACGCACATCAAAAAGAAATTGGTGAGCACGTCCTGTGTGATAATGGGATCTCCTCCTACTCATGCCACAGTGCAGGTAGGGAGATTATGCTACAGCTGGTGTCAGCATAGGAAATTTGCTACCACTATAGCTCATTACCTGGGGAATACTTTGGCCACAACCAGAGACCTTTGCTGAAAGTTTTGTTACCACCCTCCTGATTCCTTTTACTCTCAGAAACAGGTACAGGTCCTAAGCCAAACTACTGAACTCAGTGACAGTCATTCTGTTGCTGTCAGTGAAGTCTGTTTAAATAAATGAAAGAGACCAAACTGTACAAAAAAGAAAAAAAAAAAAAGAAAACAGAGAGAGTGGAAAGAAAAAAACTAAAAAAAAAAGGACCAGACATTTATAAGTTTGGGTATGTTACAACACCTATAAATCCAAAATTAGCAGGACATCAGTAGGAGTATCATTAGTCAAATTCTGGCCTCATGAACCATCTTAAAAATGTCACAGATAAATTCACACTTCAGCTGCTGATTTAAATAGAAACCTGCATCAACATCCAAATGAACAGGCCCACAAGCAATCACTCCCTGGGACTCTGTGTCAGATGAATCATCGACATGCCTGAGACTGTCCAACTGGCCAGTGAGTCTGGTTTCAAAACTACAGTCAACTGTCTACAATTTACAGAGGTACAAAAATGTTTTCACTTTTTGTCAGTTACTCTGTTCCTTGGAAGGGAACTTTTTTTTTTTTTAAATGAGAACTGTTGATGCTTGACTCAATGCTATAGTCATTAATTTAAAATGTTTTAAAGCTAATGCCTTCAAATCACCAAACCTCTTAACTTTTGCTGACATGACACACAGAACTCTGCTCCAAATGTGCAGTGTACTGCTGGTTGTATGACTGAGGGTATCCACAAAAGTTGTTGAGTGGGTGTGAGATCTGTTCAGCCACAATTGGATTAGGGATTTTCTAGGATAGGACCCCATTAAATGGCACACCCATTCACTACAGTGTGGGGCCAAGGTCCGTTTTCCAAACTCAACATAGAAAACTGGACAGATAAAAACCACCTTAAACCTAGAAGTTCATTTCTTCCTTCATACTAGTTGGCAAACTAGAGTCACTATAACTTGTCTCTGCTGTTGCAGGAACATGCACATTTCTTTTCTTCCTTGAAATTTCCTCATCTGCCACCTTTTTATAAGGTCCAAATACTATGTAGATGACCTGAACTTAAATACTTGAACACCTATATCAGCATTCCAATGAATCACCGAAGAGAGACACCTAAATCATTTTTCTTAGCGTTCGGACTTAGCATTCTTATACCACCAGACATGTTTCATATATATTTTGAAAGCAGGTTGGTGTGCATACTCCTTATCTGCAGTATGACACAGAAATTTTTTTCATGCAAGTCATTGCTAAAGTCCTCTTAACTTTCTTGGCAAACCTGTGCCTGTGTGAGGCCATGAGCCAAGAAGTCTTCCTATGTCAGTACTTGCTGTAAGAAAGATCCATGGCTTACTGGTTTCCAAACTAAAGGTTGCAAATTTAAATAAAATCAATGCACCAGCAGGTGACATTAATACCATATTGAAAATCAAATACTAGAAATAAAGACATAAGTCTGGAAATGCAACAGAAAGTGGGGTCAAAGGTGTAAACTCTCAGTAGCTGCTACTTTCGTGAATGGTCAAAGGGGAAAACTTCAGGAGTATCCATCCAAACATCTCTCAGGAGGATACTGATCTCTGTAAGTAACTGAGACTTATAACACAAGCAATTTTTTTCTGCAAGCAGATGAAAACAGAATTACTGTACAGCCAGGAAAACCATAAGGAACCAAGTCATCATTTGGGTTTGTACTCGTGGTTCTGAGTTCCCAATTTACAAATGCTGTTAGCATCTAAATGCCAGGTTCCTGGGATACTGATGTAAGGAAAAGGAAATGTAATTACATGAGTAGCATTTGTCCTTCATCTTTGCCAGCACAGAGGATTCAGCACTGCTGGCAATGTTAGCCCACACAGATCCTGTGTGAATACAAGCATGCTTGGACAACTGGTTCTTTAGACATTTCCTGCCATTGCTGGATAGTACCTTCGAATCAATGTTGTAAGTGCCTGGCAGCCACAGTTTTTTCAGCAGTATGATTTTGTCAGCAGACTGACACAGTGGAAAAGATACCAAGTTTTATTTGTTTGCTGGGATTGTCACTGAATGCATTTGTAATAGTCAAGATACTCTGAAAAAACCCCGAATGATATATTCAAATATTGATGAAAGCAAAAGATGGAGAGGTACGCAGAAACCTAAGACAGGCACATAGAAAGCTGACTCCCTCTTGGTACTGAGATTCACACAACAGAACAACTGTAATCCTAGGAAATCTGTTTCAGCAAAGATCTGGCCAGAAAGGCAGTGGTATTCTGCTTAATGCATTTGAAATACTGAAAATACATCTAAAAAGAGACTTAGATGGATGCCAGTTAGGTGAACATCAGTTATGAACTCTTGCTGTTATCTGACTTTCTCTGCTGCAGTGTTGCTGCAGTTTGTGTACAGATTGCCTTTTATTTACCAATTACATCATGCTACTTAGAATAATAATTTTTAGAAATGCTACCTCCACAAATTTTGGTTGTTTTAATTTCCAAAGCGGTAAATCTAGGTTTTCTGATTGCTTCTTTTTAACAGTCTCTATAGAGCCAGGATCAGGAGCACCCATCTCTTGCTGACCTTCAGGTCTCTGTTTGTATCACCTAACTAGCTTCTCTTTGGTGGAAAATGGGTGGGAGACTTGGAAGAGATTTTTGGCAGAACTCATGTCAGCCTACATCTGTTTTGCAGCTGTTGCAACTAAGACAAGAAAAAAGTCTCAAGAACCTTAGTTTTCTTCTACTAGCTACATCTTATACCAAATGGTAGGTATAGAGGCAGAGAAAAAAGCCTAGGGGGATCTAGGCTACACTCCTTGCTGCTCAAAAGGCACACATAAAATATATACAGATGGTACAAACCACTTGGTGAAAAATACAGCAATGTATATTGTCTGTCTTCTGCATTCTCCCAGATGAATTCTGGCACACTCTCAGAAGATAAAGCCTACATGAAGGTATAAGTACCACATCAGTCCCTCTTTGCAAACCTTTGTTCCTTGGATGTCAAGTAACATAGGCAGTTAAACACTGCTTTGAGGGATGCAGGTCATACCTCTTCTCAGAACTGTTTTTATCAGTTTTCAAAAATTCCAGGCAGCATCTTTAATATCTCCTGTTAGACAAAAATGCTTGCTGGTAACCAATGTAGAAGGTACCATTTGGAAAGACATTCCAAGTTATAAATGACTGTTCTACAGATTTTTTGGAGGCTTTGTTTTTTCCCGAGTTTAATAATAGCTTTTTTTTTTTTTTTAACCAAAAAAATCATTACTAATCACACTATTCCTCACCCTCAAAAGTTACTTCTACGTTAAGGAAAGGATTGCTGTTAATCCCAACATTTTTATTGTCCTGCCAGAGTTCACGTTTCCTTCTCTCTACATCAAGAGATGAAGCATACCAAGCAAATACAGAATCTAACTCCTATGTGTAGGAGTGGTCCTATGTAGTGGTCATTTTGATATTTTTTCTTTTGGTGCATGCCTAGGAAAAAAGGACTGCTTGCAGAATAGGGAAAAGAGACTGACCAGAAGATCTGTGGCACAAAGATCTGCTGCTGATTGGCTAGGGTCAGAATCACAGGCAAATGTGCAAGAAGCAACTGCTATTTGTTTTTTTTCAACTAGTTCAAGAGTTGATGTGTTTTCATTTCTCAGACAGAAATGAACTTTCAGATTATACCTGCAATGTAAGATCTCAGACAAGAATTTAAAAAAATAAGTCAGATTGGCAGTGTCTATTAGCAGTTGCAGATGGTTTTCAGATCCTGAGAGTGAGCAGTGACAATAACCACTAATAATTTGTGACAAAAAGGCCGTCGGGATTTCACCCCAAGAACTGTTATTCAACTTCCAGGTTTTCAACTTTGACTCACATCTTTCAACACTTATTCTCAGAAAGCCCCTACCATGCACAATGTATTTCTAAACATATTTCATTATAAATTTATAGTGAAGTTGGATAAATTAAATGTATTTAATTGCATACCTTCCTATAAATGATGTTCGGGTGTTTGCAGAGAACAACTACTACCTGGATACTTTAAAATGAAGCAATCTATACAAAATAATCAATAAGAAAACCTTGTTACTTTACCAGTTTAATGTTGTGTGAAAGAACATTTCTTTCAAACTTAATTCCTCTACATTTTTTTACATCACTAACATGTAAACAAAAGCTTTAGAGCTTCTAAATATCAACAGAACACAGCAACGATATGTGATTCAAAGCAAAATGCCTTTTGCTTTTTTCCTTCAAGATATTGGCAATGTGAATTTAGGGAAAAATACTTCAGTATCAGGGCAATAATCTAGCAAAAATATCATTAATCTGAAATACACATATGAAGAAAATAAGCAACTTTGTGCTATTACAGTTGCAAAGGGATATTATGAAGGAGAGGACAACTTTGTTTTTTAATGGTCAGAAGTACATACTGGTATACAGCTGAATTGGCTAATCTAACTGTTTCTAATACTTTACAGTTAATTATATTTTGTGACAAAATAAAGTGGTACACTGAGACACACGCAAGGAGCTGGCATAAAGGTCTCCATATGGTTCCTATTGATTTGCCAGCAACTGCACGTGAGAACAAGAGTCACCCCAAAATAGTCACTTTCAAACATTTTTGACATTTGATATACTATGCAGTTTTCCATGACATTTCTTTCTATTTTAATTTCAAAGTTGCTCAGAATTCATATGTAAACTTATCCTGTGTCCAACTGCCCATTGCTTTCCAGGATCCTAATTTAAATCCTTACTCCTTACTTTTGAGTATAATCTTTGTACCAAAAAAATTAGGTAAATCCAGGGCTACACAAAGCTGCATAGCTATGCTTATTTTGATGCACCTACTCTTATTTGTACCATTTGAGACTATGCAACCAAATGCTGCAGACTTAATTAATCTTTTTTTGTTTCATAATTTTTCTTCTCTGTAAAGTAATTTAAATAATATTCTTAGAAGATTTTTCTCAGTTAAAAGTACGGTTCCAAATCACTGAACATGTTCAATCTGAGTACCTCTTCTGAGAATGTCATTAAAAGTATTTCTGGAGCTGCAATTCACTAAATGTATTTAGAGAATCCTTTATGAAAATTGGAACAAACAGCATCGTCATTTTCATAACTCACAACTCTGCATGTGCAGATAGGCAAAGCTACACAGTAGCACAAGCACAATGTCAAAATTATGTGAATCCTTCTCTTCATTCTAATGAAAGCAAACTTTTGTTTGCTTATTGAGTTAATGCTTTTTAATGCAGTCTGTGACAATTTACAATTTAAAAAAGCCTCATATCCACTCCCAAAAAAACCATGAACCAGCACAGAAAAACCTGTGGGTATTCTGAAAAACATTATGTACCATCCTAAACCGTTACCTCCTAGTTGTTGCTGCCAACTTTTTTTGTTATTAATGCCTCCTAAAAGTACAAGCCTAGGAATTATACTGAAGTATTAGAAACACTGATTCGTAACACTGTGATAGCTAATGCTCCAGATTCTTGAAGATACCTAGGCTGGAAAATATGTGTTTCTGCCAGGTCATCTGATTGATCTAACTATATAGCACATGCATGCAACTTCTTTTTCCAACTGTGCAAATATGGAAGACAACATATGAATTCCCTCATATGAAGAATTACGTTGTTTAGTAGATCTTTATGTGGAAGGCATTACTCTCAGTCCCAAATGTTGTATAATTACAGCTTATGTTAGTAAGGGAGATCTGAAAGACACTTTAAGAAACACCTGAAAATTTGTCTAGGAAGTCAACACAGGGTTTCCCTTAAAGAAACCTCACAGGCTGCACTTTAATAGGACTTTATCCAGTGGGACTTCCAATTCCCATTTGGAATTCTGGAGGTACATCTCTTATCTGCAGCATCGGACAGCATACATGTGGTGATTGTTTGCCTATTTCCGAAACCATTTTTATAATTTGCTTTCATGCAGAAGAGTTTCATTAAATGAAGGTGAGAGCTGCCAGCACCATCTCCCCACAGATTAGCAATCAGTCCTCCTGAGTTAGCCTACAAAGAAATTTTCCATGCACAAGCCTCTTAGAACAAAGACATCCAAGTAAAGAAAACGGTAGTTGAGATAGGAGCTTATACAATCTTCCTTTTCTTGAGTCTCATCTCCTAGACATCTCCCACAGAGGCTCTGTCCTACCCGAAGGAAGCGGAACAGAAATGAAGAGCAACCAAACCCACCCCAAACACTGCGCGTGCCTCAGTCATCATTGTCAATCTGATGAAAGCCCTTCCCTGGACAGCAACTGTATCAGAACTCCAAGGAGGCATTAAAATACTCCTTTTGGCCCTACAGTATTGCACAAAAATACTTAGGAAAACAGATTTTTCGTGCAAAGATAGTACATGAAAAATCTAAAGCACTAGAAACTGTACAGAAGTGGCTGCTTAAGAAGAGAAAAGAGTATATGACACATAGAACTTATTTAGATAATCCCCTCTCAACAAGTCTTATCTCCATAAAATGCTGGGCTGTAGTCTTCATTTTAGCTTTGTGAAGAAGGGAGACTCTTGTCCTGCCAAAAATACTAGAGCAGCCAACATAGGCAGTGTTCTGGTATTCAGATTTAACAAAAGGCCATATTTAATTCCTATCTGAAAAACAAAAATCTAAATTATTTTAATGATAAAGAATGCACTCTGGATGTTTTAATCCTTTTGGCCAGTGAGCTTTTTGAGGAGGTGCTTTCTCACAAGTATATGTAAAGCTGTCTCTTTGTCACAGTTAAAATATAGTTCTGATTGCTCCACTTTATATGGCATAAAATACTAAATATTTAGCTTAAGACAAAAACAGAACCAGCAAAACCAGAAATGAGGCTAAGGAATGGAAAAATATGTTGCAGTGACTTGCTGCTAAGAAATATATAGAGAAATTATACCAGTATGTATTCTGCATGAGCTATCTAGAATTTAAATATCATGAAAATAGTTTGTTTTTTCTCTGTAAAGCCAGACTGCCACTGTTAATATTAGGGATCCAAAGTACAGTGGACATGGGAACATATCTAAAGCAATACATTTTACGTACCTTGTTTCTAAATTAACTTTCTTATATAAATGGCCATTAGTTTTACATGTTTTCAAATTTACGTTCAAAGTCCCTTGCATTGAAAGAATCACTACATTCCACTGCAAGACTAGCGATGTCTTCTTCCCAAATGGCAGTCAGCTCTTGCTAATAATTCTGTTGCTTAGAATTTTCAGACCTTCTGGATGTTATTCTCAGGATCCATGAGTAAAACACTATTAATGAGGTGTTACAAACTTGGTTACTCCACATAAATATCTCAATTATTTAATTTTCAGATATCACTACAATAAATCTTCCTTGTGAATTTCCAAACATCCTTCTAATAACCAATTGTTGTGGTTTATTCATATGCAAACAGACTTCAGTTTTTTTACACCTAGTCACTATAGTCACCTTGTCCAAAGTTTGCTGAAATCAAAGTGTAATTTCCAGACTTCATCGAGTGTATAGCCTTATGCTTTCTTCCTTAGCTGACGTGCTATATACAGACAGTGCCATTGCCCGCACTCCTCACACACGTCATTACACTAAAAAAAAGTAAAAGCCAGAATCTATAGCAATTGTTGTAGATCTTGGAACAGACCACATCATTGTGTCACAATACATGCCTTCACCAGGGCAAACGGCCTAGAAATGAGTGTGCCATTTGGGCCAGTTTCTAAGGATAAACTAAGTTCTTCCTCAGATTACAGTGGGCAAGCTGGGGCAAGCTCAAGAATTTCAGTGGAATCGCTTCTCAGTCACAACGGTGTCAGAGCCAATTTTGATCCCATTAAAAGACCCAGCTTTCTGTATGATCATGAAAGTCTTGAGTTGATTAAAGAAAAGTATTTTCTTAGGCTCCTATGTATATATTTTCTCAAAATATACATGCAGAACTTACAGGGAAAATCTTGCTGACTTCTAAGTTTGCTTTTTAAAAAAACTTTATTGCAAGTGCATGAGCTCCTGTCTGAACAAAAAAACAAATAGTTTGCACATAAGCCAAAGAACCAAGGCTTTTAGTTTTCCATACTTAGCAATAAAAGTTGAAACACTTACAGAAGTTTAATACAGTTGGAGTTTCTTTAGGGCTCCATATTGCCTTACTCACCCATCTTTCCAAAGCAGGTCTTCAGGATACAGTTACACAAAGGAAAATATAAATGGGTACCAACAATTCCACTTTAACTCTTTCTAAGAATTATTTTGCTGCTACAGGAAACAGGAAGCCATTTCACAGTGGTATTTTTCAGTATAATTCTTCCATGTGTGTTACACTGACAAATTTTTTTTTTCCATTCATCATGGAACAGATTTATTTGGAACTCCTTAATGATGTAGTGAAAATTTTATATATGTTGAACATGTGACAGAAAAAAACAGTGTCTGGAGCAAATCTAACATCCAATATTTCTGCTTAATCCTGTGTTAGTGTGCCCTTTCTCCCTTCTTTTTTTTTCTTTTCCAATCAGTCTGCCTCAAATGTTTTTACTCTTTCTAAAACCTGTCCTTTTGGAACAATCGTAACTGGCCTCTGCAGTGTATGTAGCACCTTGCAGAACTCCAGGATCACAAATCACCTTCCATTTCACAGTCTTGATGAGTGTCGCAGTCCTCACAAGCAATTTCACATGGTCGTTCTCTGCCTAGGTGGCTGCCCCTGTTGGACGTGGCTCAGCTAGTACGGCGTTACAGCTTTCAGCGTGAGGCAGAGATGTAAGCCCTGTCTGGGTCTTTAAGAAATATCATAGATTTCTGTACAAATGCGTATGCCTGCATATGTTTTAGTGATGTTTTGTAAATCTTATTATCCCTCAGAAAGCATTAAAATGAAGCCAACAGGCCCAGCTGTGCTCATAACATACCTTAGTAGATATCCAGACTTTTTTTAAGAACAGAAAAACACACACACTCTCCTACCAAACAAGGTTGCTGTTCTGGGTGTATTCTACTATTTCATTCACAGTTTACTTTACAACATTGTGCTGAAGTATAACACTAACTATAAAAATGGAAAAACAGTGGAAAGTAGTTTCCCACATGAAATTAAATTGAATTACCTGTCTTTCAGGGGAAACCAAAATAAAAAGGGTTATAAAATAAATTTTTTCAGATATTTAAACTATTTATACCATTGGCTTTCAGACCAGCCATGAAAGTTTCATTTTTCACCTAAAACTATTACTATCTGTTAATACTAGATAGGAAACCTCCTAAAGACTGCTTTAGAAGTCCTGACTATCAGCTGTTTTTGACTTACAAGTTCTCCTACTTAGCAGCATGCCTCATTTTCCTTTCTTTGTGTTTTCTCAAATGATTATCGTAAATGGCAGAATCCATTAAAAACACCCAGAGGATCTGTCATGTTTGAAGCTAACACAATTTCCTTTTTTGAACTATAGTACAGTTGTTAAGGGATGGAAAAATGCTCACATAATTAAACAGAAAACCCAAAATAGTTCTCTAAAGAGTATATTTGATAAAGGAAATAAATCTGTAAAAGAAATAAAATCTAACTAAAATGCAGGTTTAAGTTTTCTGCTAAGTCTATTTTACTATTAATTTTACAGTCTCAGAAAGCTTTTTGATAAATAATTTTTCTTGATTGCTAACAATGAAACTTGTTGTACAGTTAAATTTGTGACTCATAATGAAAAGCTTTGGCAGGCTGCAGTAAAAAAAAAAAACACCTTCAACTTTGATGTAAGCAAAAAGCCGCAACACAACTGTTTGGAGTACTTCCTATTGTTTTAAGATTACAGTGCAAGAAAATATTTACTATATATCTAAGAGGGGAGGTCACTTCAACTACAGGTTCATGTACAGCTTTTGAGACAGCAGACTTTTATACCGTACTTGTACTGTCTGCTTTTATATGTATGATATACAGACACTATAGTTAAATTAAAAGGTCTAAGCCTCTTTTAAATGTCTAAAATGGACAGCTACTTCCAAAGGAGCTGATACTCCTTACACAGTCTGAATTTTTAGTTTGGGAGGAGAAAGTACAGTAATAACGGCCTGATTTTGCTAACATGTCAGTGTATACATAAAGTTTGGGTCTCAAGTGAGCACTTGAGAACAGATATATTTAGAGAAAAAGAAAAAAAGAAAAGAATCCCCCAAAACCCATAAACATCCAATGATTAAACCACAAGTCTGCAGTATGCTAGTCAAATCAGAAGGTCAGTTTGTCCCCAGCTTTGTTTCCAAATGCTTTTCAGTAATGGAAAGTCTTTCTGTGATCACTGTACTAATACAAAAGTAGAAACTTTTATTTTCCCAAATAAGAGAGGCCATTTGGCACACAAATGTTAAATAATATGGCCTGACTCTTCCATCATTCACCTCACACAACTTGCTGCATGTAAGCTGGAGAAGAAAGGCCTTCCTGGTAATGTGCTGGTGAAATAGTCTGACAGTGCATGTCAAAGCATAGTAAATCCTATATATGTTTTACAATCCCAGACAGTATTTGTTCTTCTCTTTTAAAGAAAGCTCATTTAAAATACCTACCTCTACTGGGATAAGAAAATTAATAAACATTCATTACAATTGAAGATACAGTTGGGTAAGTATAACTTTTTTCTCCATGCTAAAAGTTGTAGCACCGAAAACAAATACAAAGGTTCTTTAATTCTTCTGAAAAAAACCCCACATAAGTCCACACATTGTCTGTTGTGATTGGTTGTCACCTCCAGTAATGGCTGGCAGGCTGGAGGCAAAACATCATCCCCACTTTTGACTCTGAAAGTGTTGAACTCCGTCTTTCTAAGAAATGAAAATTGCTGGTTTATTTCTTTGCTCTTCTTCCCATCCATATAATCTAGGGTTGGATGCTCTGCAGTAAGAGTAGACGCAATACTTGAGATTATCAGATCACGGAAATGGGGGAAAAAAAGAGCAATAAAATTATTAGCACACCTACTGAGAACACAGGAGTGTATTCTAAAAAGCAGAGACTTCAAACAATGAAATCCCGGCATATATATCAGTAATCAGCAATTACAGCGCTGTACTTCATGCAACAAGAATGAACACTGCATTTGAGAGTGCTAATGGGGTGAGGAGGGAGAGGTAGAAAAAACCTCCTCTGAACCTCAAAAAATATCTCCTGAACTCTGGTCTGGCAGCTCGGAAAAAGAGCACGTAGCAGCTCTGAAATGGCACAAATTCAAGAGGTATATTAAGAAGTGGAATAAAGGTCTGCAGCTTTCCAACAAAATGAGTTATAGCAGTTAGACACAAGCTCTGCAGCCTTACTCTTTTCAATATAAAACTTTATTCCATCTAATTTTGAACTGCTTGGTCACTACGTTTCCGCACAATTAAGTAAGGTCATTGGACATTACACTGTTTTTATCAAGGGTATCTTACTTTAAAATTGCACAGCTTTGAAAAACCTTAAAGCCAATAAAGGAGCTTTTCCAGTCTTTTTTACCCATCGATAGCCACCCCAAATATGGGGCCTCTCACGTTCCTGCTTGAGGCAACGGGAAAGCCTACGAACGAGGGACAGTTTGCTTAGCATTAACCATCCCTGCAATATACTGACTGATAGATTTTGTTGATGTAAAACAAAACCTGAACCATCCAATCTCAGCTGTCTGCTGTATGACAAAGTGTCAAGATGCAGATGTAAAGTATTGAACAACTTCATTCCTTCTCTTACCCGCTCTTCTGCTGAGAGCTCCTTAGCAACACAGCACTTTTAGGATTCATCTGCTTGCTGCCTGGTTATTTAAAATGTCCAGCTAGCATGACTTGCATCTCCCTTCCTTTCTGCGGTCCCTAGTGACTTCAGTCAGCAGAGCAAACGTCACTGGGGCTTGGAGTTACTGTCGATGCTGGACTGAGCATGCTCTGGTACAGCATAGCCCTATAAAAATGGTACTTGTTGAATAACTGCACTGGGTTGTTTTACATTGTTGCAATGTTTTCCAGAGGATTTATAGGCCTCTGGGGCACTGAAAACATGGAGCAATATCTTCTTTTGCAGATGTAAACATGGGTTTGAGTAAATAGATAATTTATGCTGGTGTTAGAGCATTTGGTGGATGTTTCTTGTCATAAACATGCTTTCTCCATCTTTCAAAACAAAACCAAAAACCGGATATTGACTTTCTCTAGCATCCAAAACCCCAGCTTGCTTCTTAAGCAAAATTGGACTCAGTTCATTTCACAAATCTGAGACAAAATTCAAAAGGAAAGGAGGTTAAAATGTTGGTCTGTTAGGGTTATGACTATGCTGAACTCATATAAAAGATAAAAGAGCATAACATGCTGATATATCTGATGTTTTTATGCAAGACTGCCTTGTTTCCACTAAACAACGAAAAGACAGCTACTGTTTAACTGAAGAAACTGATGGAAAATCCTCATTACTATATAAACAGTGGTTTAGGCATAAAAAGTGTTTAGTTTATGCATCTGTGCATTTAGCTGAACACTAAGCTTTTTCTAAACACAATTTGGTGCCTTCCTACTCCCATATATTTTCACTTTCTTTTTGAAAGCAGGAAATCTGTGTCTTCTCATGCCTCAAAATGTAAACCAAAAAAAAATTAATGATTTTTGTATTGTGTGTTGTACCTAACTCACCAGAGAATCCCGGTACATTGCTCCTACAGTTGTAGTTTCCCTTTAAAGTCTGTATTTTGTTTTGTTTTGTTTTTTACTGTCTTTCCAAGGGAGTCTTTGGTCTACCATCACCATAAAAGACCTCATGGGTTACATCATCTACTTATTCTGTTTTGGTATTTAGGCTGCTTTCTTATTTGGTATTCTGTCATCCAGCTGCTTATCCAGAACTAAAGCTGAAGAAAAAAAATCTTATGCAATTACAACAGAATGTTCTCGTTTTACTTCCTAGTTTTTAAGTCACACCAATAAAAATGTATACATAAACCATTTTTTTCAATTATGGCTGCCATTCCTGGTTCCACAGATTTCACCTCTTTCCAGCTGATCTAGTCTCTATTAAAATCTCAGTATCAATCCCTTTCTCTCTTCATTCACTTTCATGATATCAGCCCTTCAAGCCCTTGACATAATAAAAGTTGTCTTGGCAGTAACTGCCATGCAAATTAATCTTCGCTTTTGTGGACAAACTGAGAAGATGTTGGTAAGACGAGGCTGAGAACAGCAAACATTCCTTCTTGGATTGCATCAGTGGTGACCAGATAAGAAGTTCAGGTTAACCACCCTCCTTCAACATATTAATGAGCATTAATTCACCCGTATATTAACACACAAGTCAAACACGATTGTTTCATGGATGGTGCCCTCTTTGTAAATAGGACCTACCCCCAAAAGCTACTGAATAGACCCACGCTTGCTTTTGTGTATCTTAATACATCAAAAATGCCTTTGAATCAGTTAAGAACTAATTCTGATTTGCTTTTATTTGATTTGCTTTAACTTGCTCTGAGAGATAATAGGAGCCTATTTCAGAGGGTTTGCTACTACTTGAAATTATTAATCATTAATTCTCAAAGAAGGGACACTATCAGGACACTAATGCATGACCCTACTAAGACTTAAAGGGAAATAAACAAACCTACACATTTTTATAATAAAATTTGGAAAAGACTACAATTCAATCAAAGACTGAAGAATATCTGCCTCAGCTAGGAAGGCCAGTTCCCTAGCTAGGAGGACATTTGTTTGATTCAAAAACTGTAGAAAGAGCCCAGAAGCAGTTTCTTTGAATGAAGACATGTATGCACAAATAGAATGAGACAGAGAAACTTCCAGATACATTATTCGTTAGTATTAGTGTATCAGCGTTGCTTAAAGGGCCTCGTCATAGTACTGGACACTTCATGCTAACAAATTAAAGTCCATGCTCCCAAGAGCTGACAATGCATTTGTGGTATGCTGCACCTCACTTCATCGTGGCGGTAACAAACAAGGGAAAACGTTGATCACTGCATCCCAGCTGGGTGGAGAGGAAAGACTGAGGGAAAACATCACACTTGTGATGTCCTTCAACTTAGTCTCCCAGTTCATCTAACTGATAACAACAGTTCCTGTCTTGAACGAGACTTTGATCCTTATTCGAGTTAGGTGTGGCAATAACTGGCCAAATCTGCACAGTTACATATTGTTTTGCATACAAATAGTATCACACGAAATTCACATTTTAAATAACAGACCTGGAGGAAGAGAAGGGCAAGGAGGAGTCAGATTGTGTATGATCTAGACAAAGGTGTGCAGACAGGGCACAGGATAATGTTCAGGTCACATCTCGCTGAGGTACAACTGCAGACAGCAACACAGTCTGTTCCTCTGAGTCCTAATGGTCTTAAGTGGTGCAATTCTGAAATTCCATACAGTATGCTTATGACAAAAAAACCTATAATTTATCTCAAAGGTTGCGGGAAATTGAAGAATCATAGGAAAAGGTCAAAATATGCACTGTCCTCAGACTTGTTCAGCAAAAGGCTAAGGAAAAAAAACATGTTGGGGTCTAAACCAAGAATGGAAGGACAAAAGCAACATGATAATGTATATCTAGTTCTCAGCAAACCTTTGTAGACTTTTGTGAGAAGGTGAGCAAATCTTTTGTGAGAGTTGTGTCAACAGATACTCAGGTCTGCTGAGCTACGTAATAATTCAGATACTTTAACATCTGAAAGCACCAGTCTTCATGGGTATAAATCAGCTTCTCTTCTACATGACAAATTGGTAATATGCAATGTGGGTATGATCTTTTCCTTTTATAAATAAATAATGCAAACAGATGAAGAGATCCTTATACATAGAAATCTGACTCAAAACTCCTAAAATATGTTTAGGAAGCAGGAATACAAGCCACAATCACCCAAAAATTGTTTCAGGGTGGAAGTAATTTCTGAAATTACAGAAGCATTATTGCAAACGCAAGGTAACCATTTATCAATAAGAGAGTTATGAAAATCAGATATTTATTTTCAGGCAACTCATATGTCAAGTTGCCCAAGGGTAAAATCACTTATCTGTGTTTAGAATTTCATTTTTCCTAAGCATATTTAGAAAACAGCTGTTTTGAAACTCCCTTTGCACACAGGAGATAAGGGGAACCAAAATCATTCTTAAAGTTTTGTATAAGAGCACACATAGTGTATGAAAGTCATTAGCTCGAATCCAGTTCTGAAAACCTGTTTACAAATCACAATCCCAGGGAGCGCTCATACAGGAGATGAACAATAAGTTGTTTCACAGCTCTCAGCAACATGTGTGTGAAAAGAGAGAAGTGGTAGAAGGTACTCAGAAAAGTGCACTGCCTTTTGTACCCACTTTTCTCAGGAAAATGACCTTCAATCTCCCACAATGCTGTTCCGGATTAGTCATTTCTCTACATCTTCTCCTGCTATTGATTATCAAATTTATCTATCCCATTTTTAACTAGCTATTACACACAGACTTTCCTCTCAGATCCAGAACCTTGTGAATCATTATAAATACAATGTCATAGAACATCTATAGCATTCCTTTCTCAAAGCATTCAGTATTTCTACAAAAGTAGTTAACAACCAGTAAGGCAATAATGTTGAGATGCCAAAAATCATGTTCAGCTCCTCGTTTACTCTAAATCAATATTAAGAAAAACGTAGGAGATGGCAACGTTATATCCGGTACAAATCATCACTTGGACAAAGCATAGCTGACTCTAGACAGAACCAAAGTACTTGTCTGAAATGTTTCCTTCTCTCTGAATGCCTTCCGCCTCACCGCCCCTCCTCCTGATGTTAAGACGTGCAGGCAGATGCCCTTGTCACTGCCTAGCTGCTCTATTTGCTTGGATTGAGTCTCACTGTGCTTAACTCTCACTCCAGATGATTCAGATTATGCCCAGTCCTACCTGAAACAAAGCAGGCAGCAATGAGCAGAATTTGCTAACTGATGTAATGCATATGCAGGTATTGAGTCACGCATCCTGGAAAAAAAGTTTGAGTTGACACATAAACACACAGGTAGTCTGCTTAGTGTGAAGATTCACACGACATACCACTTTCCTTTGCTGTTTTGTGTGCTGGCTCCCGCTTGAAGTAAAGAGTCCTCCTCAAAAAATCGTTTTGAAGCCCCCCCCCCCCCGAAACAGCTTCAGCAACCTGGCAGCTTTTTCTCTCCAAGATATGACTTTTCCGAGACAACTGTGTTCCACTGAAACAACCCTAAAACATAAGAGTGTGAAAGGCTCACAAACACAGAGCCAGGCCTTTTTTCCCACCAGGACTGAATCTCCATTCCCATAAGAAAAGCGTGGCTCCAGAATTCACTGCTTACAGGAATCATAGAATCGAATCATAGAATGCTTTGGGTTGGAAGGGACCTTTAGAGGCCATCTAACCCAACCCCCCTGCAATGAGCAGGGACATCTTCAACTAGAGCAGGTTGCTCAGAGGCCCGTCCAACCTGGCCTGGAACGTTTCCAGGGATGGGGCCTCCACTAACCCTCTGGCCAACCTGTGCCAGTGTTTCACCACCCTCATTGTAAAAAATTTCTTCCTTTTATGCAGTCTAAATCTACCCTGCCTTAGTTTAAAGCCATTACAGGAGCAGATACAAAGCTCTCTTAACTCCAAAGTAATCAGTTATGCACATACACACAACACAAACAAAAGCTGTGTAGTACACACAGGAGCAAGTTATTTCCGCCATGTTAATATACGAATTCATGAACATGACAGCTTTGGGTTCTCATAAAGTGTCTTAAAAACTTTTTATTATTTCAATTCATCACACACTAAAAGTACTCAACCAGCATAAATAAGAGTGAACCAGCCTTGAAAAACTGGCTGTAGCTTTTGCTCTGAACAACCCCTGACATATTTTGATGCTTACTTGGAGCTTGCCCAAACCTAGGTTTATGTGACTGGATTAATTCTGAGAAAAGAAGTCTCTTTCTGACTGGATTTATATAATCTGCATAATATTTTTTTCAGGTTAATTTTTTGTTGGAAGACAAACAGGAAACTACCAAGCATTTAACTGTTACAAAACTAGCTATCAAACCAAGACAGAAGTTTCAAAATTTTGAGCTCCAGGATTATTTAAAATGGCTTGAAGATCCCCTTTTAGCACTACCTCATCCTGCTATTTATGATCTGGAAAAAATCTGTTTCTTCATTGCCTTCTTTACAACTTCAAAGATATTCAATGAATCAA